AGATGGCTTACGGAACCCGAAGGTTCATCACCGAATTAACCAAAGCCCTCCACCGGACCCTGTCCTGGGCCAACAAAATCCAGTCTCCTTCAACTCCTATCTCCCATAGATCCCGCCTGAGATTATCCTCCCATCTGGACGTTTTACACCCATAGAAAATATATTTAAAAACAATGTTTTTTATATATTAATATGTAAATTCTTAAATAGCAAATCTGAGGATATCCTGGTAGTAAGCCAAAAAAATCAGCTTGAATTAAATTTGATAAATTCGGCAAAAAAATACCGAATCGCTTTGCCACAGAGAGACAAGTTCAAACGAATATTTTGGATGTCATGTTACAACGGAAATCAAAAGCAGTACAAATTTCCTAACAACTGCATGATGATTTGATTACTTGATGTATTTAGGTCCGGATGGTATTCAAAATCATGTAACTGGTTCTGACAACCGGAAATCGATCAATTATCTGAATGTGTACGATAAGGAACACACATCATAATTTATACTTTTCGGTAATGGACGCTGAACAATAGTCATCTATTTCACACAGAATAAATAATACAATTACGTAAAGGTTAAATAAAGTGGTGTTACGAATATGGGGATATCTAGTCACAAATAGGATGGTACCACATTAATAGTAGAGAGATATAATTTAAGATAAGAACTAGATCGATGTGGCTGAATTCATTACTGCATATAAGATTATTGTTTAAGACCTACATTTTTTATGTTTACGTAAAAAATAAATTCTATTGCGTGTAAATATATATTTCTATTTATCCATATATCCTTTTCTGGCACGAGAAAATTCAACCTATGTAGAGTATAAATCCATCAGAAGATAAATCTTCCTGTACACAGTAATTACGATAGAATTATAAAAATTACCCTACGAGATACAAAATATCGATAGTGAGTCGATACTTTCCATCGAAACTGTATACCACGTGACCATGTGCCATCTGGTTCTCTTGTAGCTAGACGGAACACAACCACAGCACATCGCTGTCCCCCCCCCCCCCCCAATGAATGTGGTCTACTGGTCCCTACTTCCCACAAACATAAATTTACCCAGTTCACTCTGTCTCAGTTACTGACAAACAAGCCTTCATTCTGTTACGTTATTTCTAGCAATGTTTATGGTGGACGGGAGATATATTACAACATTATCCTTAACAGTACAGTGATGATAAGTGAGGTTAAATAGGTCATTATACGACGACATACAATACGAAAATTATAATGGTTAAACCTGGAAAATATACGAAAATTCACTGGCATTGTATCTAATCAATATCTCATAACTGTGAGCGAGAAAATATATTAACCATTCCGTTAATTATGATATGACAATACATGTTATCCATTTGAAATTCGACCCTAATTAGAACATAAAAGAATAGAAATTATTAATTTTTTGATTGGAAGTACTTACAGAATAGGTTTAAAACAGACGCTGAAAAATATCCACCAACTTCTCCGCCATTTTACTTTGTTTTGTTTCACTTTGTTTCAGAAAAGTTTTAATGTTTACAAATTATTTACAGAACGCGCCGAAAATTCTCCCCGTCAGATTCACACCACGAATTTCCTGCACTCTGAAAAAATATCAGACATTTGTCTTACCGATATTATCAGCTGCTTGAATCTATAACTCATCTTTAGCGTCGACACTTTTAGATCAAACTATGCCCTTGTCTTTGCCCCATAGATATAAATCAGCGAGTGAGTTCGGGCGACCGCGGTGGCCACAGGGAGAGTCCGATTTCTTACTTCGTAATGCGAAAACAACAAAGTCTGTTGCATATTTAACTGCACATATTCCACTGTTTGAGGTAATTCATCGTTTCAAAATGTAACAGAAGGCCTTCTGACTAAATACTTACTCTGAACTTATTCATACACCAGCAATATGCCATTAATACGTCGAAAGAATTATCCCACAATAATAACCTTCGTGATTCAGTTACAGGAGCGAACTCCTATGAACCCACGAACGAAGCAAAACATCACAGCGTATCGGGTCGATGCGTATTCTCTGCTACGCGGTGTTGCCATATCTCGCCAACAAAGCGTTTGCCGTCATACCTTTATAGGAAATTCTTGGCGTGACTTCAAACTAAAACACGGTCCTGCTTGGAATTATAATCAACCTGAATATTACTTCATAACGTGTAGTATTTGAGGTTTTCAAGGCGGTGAGTCTCAATATGACTGGCTTTTGGGTTGTCTGGTAGAAGTTTACCAGAGTTTCAGAGGTCATTACTGTCTCCATCATGACCTCATCGCCCTGATGATGGTGGCAGTAAGGACCTCTGAAACGTCGGTAAAATCCTGTAAGACTACATGACGCAACAACCCAGAACACAGATATCTTCAGTTCGTAAGTCTTTTTTCAAACAGCTGACAAATGCAATGTTGCAAATTCTTCCTGAGACGTACAGCTGTTCAAGAGACACCCGTCATTTTATGAGACCCCAAGGATTTATTACAGTCTGTCTCATATCTGATGTTGACAAAACTACAAATTATGACGTGTATTTTACAGCTCGTATTTCATTGTCTTCTAAATAATGACACAACAACCAGACGTTATTTTACATTTTAAAGAAAGATGCATGTATACATACGCGGTTATAAAAATCAGAGACGTGATAGTATCTTAAGAAATGGTTTTTAGTAACATTTTCCACACGTAATTACAGACACTCGATATTTAGGTCAAATACTCGTGAGATATTTACGTGAATATGTCATTAATTTTTTAGAAAATAGAATCAGGAATTTAAATACAGGGCTAGAGGCTCTATAAAATGGTCCCTCGAGTCATGAATTTTCATACCACTCACGCGTTCTAGTGTCAGGAATGTTGAACTGTGCTACGAGACGTAGGATTAATTCCGCCGAGCTGAATTGGAATGCTTGGCCAAATATGTGTAGTCGGATTGTAATACGGCATTTCTGAAGGAACTGACTCCCACCCAATAGGATTATCTTCCATCGCCGAAGACTAATCAAAAGTCGTATCCTTACGGACGTATTTAACCTCGTCTTGTGACATGGGAAATTGTCCACAGATATTACACGCATCTGTAGTGTGTTTCGTAAAAAAAAACCTTTATTCTGAGATTTAGGTTAGATCCTTTAATATCAGATACGAGATTTCCAATGAATGTTAACTTTACATACCAGGAGTTTTACATAAAAATAAGACAGCGTACATGATAATTCCTGTACACAACCGCGTTCTTATATTTACATGTGATTCGTACTAAATAGTACAGTTTTCTGGAAATACCGTTTTAAAACAAGTTAATACAGCTTCATTCCAAATATTCTAAGACCAAACTTTTCATAATCATCTTAGAACCTATTATATAACATTTGATCTTCCATATGATCGTTAAATAACCCCAGAACCGATAAGTTACGTATAAAATCTTGGAAAATGTTTATTCAAATTACTTTCTCAAATACCCCGAGTGTTTATAGCACATCTTATAGAAATAATCGCCATATTCAATAACTGAAGATTACGGTAAGATCTTACAGCGTTGTAACACGAGTAGCGGAGACCGGACGAGTGAAATCAGCTTAGAACTCGCAGCGTAGTGTTTAGAGACAATGTTATTAAATATATTGACTAATTTCGGGGCTGCAGGTAACACAGGTTAAGAGCTTTATAAAACACGACGAAAAGTAATATATTTAAACCTAAGGGGAAGGAAGTAGCAGTTGGTTACAAGAAACTTCATAATATTGTGCTTCGCGGTTTATATTCGTCATCAAATATTGTTGTATTAAAATAAAATTAGGTTAGGGGTAAGATTTAGGGTCGTGTTTCACTCATGCAATGGATGATGAATGCATTTAAAACTGTAGTATGGAAGAAAAACCTAGACGTAGATGGAAGGATAATATTAAAATGGATTGTGATAGACTCGTATTGATAAACAGTTGCGGGACGGGTATCAGCAAATAATTTATATTAATTCTCACATTTTCAAAAAATACTTTGTTCTTACTAATTCTTTATTCATGCTCTCTTTTAATTTTGACAAACGTTCTATAAATTATTTCTTCATCCTAACTAACTAACTAACTAGATGGCTTACCGAACCCGAAGGTTCATCACCGAACTAACCAAAGCCCTCAGCCGGACCCTGTCCTGGGCCAACAAAATACAGTCTCCTTCAACTCCTATCTCCCATAGATCCCACCTGAGATTATCCTCCCATCTACGTCTAGGTCTCCCCAGCGGTCTCTTCCCTTCAGATTTCCCAACCAGTACCCAGTGCACACCTCTTGTCCCATTCATGCGCGCTAAATGACTAGCCCACCTCATTCTTCTCGACTTAATCACCCTCACAATACTGGGGGAGGAGTACAGATTTTTAAGCTCATCATTATGCAGTTTTCTCCACGCCCCATCGTCTTCCCTCTTAGGCCCAAATATCCTCCTCAACACCCGATTCTCAAACACCTGCAATCTGTGCCCTCCCTCTGAGTGAGAGACCATGTTTCGCACCCATACAACACCCTCAGGAATTTCATGGTTGAAACTTATTTAAGTTTGGTATGACATTTTATTTATTTTATTATTTTATTTCATATTTGTATGAAGAATATGAAATAAATTATAGAACGTAGAAAATTACTGTAACCAACACAATTTCCATGATTTCTCCGAATTAAATCAAACTAAAAAAAAATAAATTTACTTTTTCCACTCCATAAAACAGCACGCACGAAAAAGCATTCCAAACTCAAAGGGACTACTTTGTTGATTCCTGAATCGACCTCAGGCCACAGAACTGTTAGTGACAACGGATATCGACTATAACGATGTTAAACAGTGATTCGAGAATTAATCCAGCGGCTCTTATATCAAAGAACTGTATTTACATCGATAGTTTTAAACTCCCAACGTTCTATACCTTAAATTACATTGTGATTTTCTATATTCTTCTAACTAAAAATTCTACTCCGAATGAAACATAATATTCACAGGCATTAACATTTAATTATTCCTAATTCTGCCGCTAACATTCGACACATACGCATATTTAATATGCATTTTATAATAAAATTTTATCGTGAATAAATACTGTCAATACCACGACATTAATTTATTTTTGAGTGCTTCGTTTATCACAAGTAAGACCAGTGCAAATTTTATATTAAAATGTAAAAATCTGATTATCCTTTACTGAAAGTCACCAGCGAAGTTATAGTGGATTTACTACTAGAAGAACAGATGACGTCAGTCAGGCTTCAGTGCGCATGTGTACGCCTTCATTCGCGTGTGGTTGACTAAAGTTCTCATGCTTATATTAATTAAAGTAACACGAAAACGGGAAATTTAATATAGTTTCTCACATCGTTTTACAAAACTTCATAGAACCCTCACCAACAAATCAAGAATATTTATCCTGTAATTAATATCTCAACTTTAGTTAAACCAATCCTCTCACGAAAAGTTGTGAATTCAAATTTCTGTTACCGAGAGTTGATCCGAACTTAGAAGATCATCTGTTCACATCCACCTTACCCTTAAATCACCCTTATCACCTAATCAAATCGTCACACAGCCCAACTACTTGGTCGAATTTGAAGACCCAGGGAAATGTTTGTAATGGAATAATATTTCGAAGTTCTGCAAAGACATCGACTATTCCGAACATCAGGGCTACGTTAGCTCTCAAATGATTGGTTTATACCAACGTAGCTGCAGATCAAACACGTAATTTCAATACTCGGAAAAGTTTTACAGAAATATATATAAAGAAATTACGATATCATTATATGATTCCCTGATATAACGCACACCTGAGATATAAATATACCTCATTAGAATTTTGGTTTCAAGCCCTAAACCATGACTAATGTTTAACGTTGCAATTTATAACTTCTGGTACATAATTTTCTTATATAAATCTCTACAAATTTCTTAGGAGTCATCTTCGTTTCAATAAGTTACATTCGATGATACAAGCCAATTTAAGATGAATGTGTGATACAGCACGGATGATTTGAGCTATTTAACGATCCCTTTTCAACACCATAGGTTTTACAGCTATCACAGATTGAGGAATTGAGAAATAACTGTACATACAACATTCTGGTTGGAGGTCACGATATAAAAAGTGAAATTTCAGGTCATCACGGCTATGAATATAAAGATGACATTTTTTATAATTGTTCCGCTCTATATCCAACACGAGGCCAATGCGTACTCAGTTTTGAATCAGTAAGAACCTCTGTAATACTATTCTATTTATACCAGACTATACGGCGCAATATCTGAAAAAAAACTGCCATCTTCATGGCGACAAAACGACTTTTGCGAGACGAGTAGGATAAAGAATAATTGTAACCTATATTTTTAATAATTAGATGTAAAAGCTTGGCATATAATTTATTTACTAACAGATTTTAAAACTTACTTTAAATTTCTCGTGGAAATTTAATAAGGCACTTGAAAATTCTCTTATATTCCTTATCCTTGTTATGATCCATTAGCACTTAAGAAGTTTTACTAATGATAATAGAACATGATTGAAAAACCTCATAAAATACGAATTAAATATTTCGTTATGAAACATTTTGGGTTCGTTGATCCCGCGTTAATGTGATACATAATAATGGTACTAAAATACATTCGATTTATACACCAAACCACAGACTATAACCGCTCACTGAATTAATAATTTGGGGCATTTAAACTACTATAAAATTTATTGATGGTTAACCTGTTACATGACGCATGCAGATTATTTCTATCATAATTTATTGTTAGCAGAATCTCATTTACTGTATCATTACAATATACTGTTCAAAAATACACACTTCATAATCCGATTATTCGAATGTGTTAATAGCGTAAATTCGATTAAAAATATCAACGCACAATTACAAGACATTAGTAATTAGTTACCCACTTTGTGTGCAGCTTATATTATATAATCCACAAACCTACAATCAAATG